GGCATCTGACTCATCGGCCTTGCCTGCATCCCTCCATGGATGTTCGTCTTCGGTGGGGGCATAAGTAACCACGACCACCACTCCTCGCCTCTGGTTTATGGGAAGGTGAGCCCAAAGTAGCCTGGGGCTTACAGCTTCCCACACCTCTCCGCCACGCTCCCACACCCCCTTCATTATTTTGGTCAGAAGAAGAGCCACTCCCTGTTTGGCAGTCTCCTGCCCCGAGTAGAGGCAGGAGCCAGAGCCGGTCCACCGGACCTCCTGAATACCACAGAGATCCAGGCGGTACCGGTCCAGCTCCCGACAGGAGTGGCAGCCTCTCCTCCCCAGTGAGCATTCGAACATTCCCTGTCGCCACCCGTGTTGGTTTTCTGTTGTTTCTGGAGGAGCCCCGAGGGTAAGGATTCAGTCTCCTGGCTCCACCAAATGGGGTTTGGCCAGGAGACGTCATAGACGCCTGTCCCCCCGGGGCCGCCGGCACAAGCTTAATTAAAAATTTTAATCGTGGTTTTGTGGTAATTAATTGAAGGTGGAGGGGTTACCAGCCCCCATTTAGCCACTGTGGTGGTTACAAATGCCATGAGGGGAATGGCCAATCTAAGTTGGCCCTCCCCCCACGGTACTGCCCACCACAGCGTTGCCGTCTGGCACAAACGAGGAGGTAGAGGGGTTGTTTTTGCCGGAATGGTGATAATATGTACGTAACCTGCACACACACACACAGACACTCCACCACACACTCCAAAAAACGCTATAACCCCCACACACGCAGGCACTTCACCACACACTCCCACCCATGTACACTCCCTCGCACGTGCCCGTGTGCTCATTTGCATGAACCCGGTGAACCCGCCTTGCGAAATGTAGGGCGCGGGGGGGAGAAGCTGGGAGGGAGTGAGGGGTTGCGGGGGGGGCACGGTGGGTGGGAGGTGGGGACGGGTGAGCGTCTGAAACAATGAGACAGGCGGGATCACGAACCTTGGTGGTGATGGGGTGAGGATGGGAAGGGTGAGGATGCGAGGGGTTGGGGGGGAGGCGGTGAGGAGAGAGGAGGGACACAGTCGGACTGGTGGGACCACGTGGGGTGGTGAGGGGTTAAAATGGTAATGGTGAGGATAAGAGTGGGAGGGAGTGGTGGTACATGTATGTATGTAGAACTTATTTCCCACCGTGCGTAGCCAAACCGTGCTAATCGGAGGTGCGGCAGATTTTTTTAGGGGTGAGGATAGTGGTGAGTATAGAAGGTGGTAACGGGGTAATGGGTTGATAGTGCAAGGGGTGGCTGGCTGCAACGTGGACATTAAAGGGTGGTACAGCAATGGATTCGTGATTATATCAGTTTGGATGCTTGCGAATGTTATCCCTTCGAATGCATTGGATGTTTTGTTTTTTTCCGGGTACTGTGGTTACCCCCATATGGAGATGACGAAATGGGAAATGTCCAAACATTACCTTGCAAAATCCTCCGGAGGGTCTTAAGACTTAGTGAGGCTTTTCCAGCATGAATTAAGGCATTAATAATGTGAAAGGTGATTAATGAAGGGGGTGATGGCAGATTGCTGAGATGTGATATTTTACTCATAATTAACTCGATCGGTGATTATCACACTGCACTATAAACCTGGCTAGCTATGTTCGATTCCCAGCCATGGCCCAACATTCATTGGCGTGTGATATCTGGACCGGAGTGTTATCCAACGTTCGCTCGGCCGGGGAGATTCTTTGACTTAAAGAATATGCACAAATACAATGTACACACCCACGTAGTTTTGACACACATGCAAAGGCAAAGACACATATTTGGCTGTAATGGAATTTCCAGATCTGAACACGAACTGGGCCCATCCCTGCACGAGTTTAATCCGGTTTCCCAAGAAGATCTGCGTCTCTGAAACTGTTCTTAGATCCAACAACATCAACAACTTGCATTTAAATTGCACCCCTAACCTAACAGCTTTTTTTTTGTAAATTTTTCTACCCTAGGGGAACCTCCAGCTGATGGTAGCTGTCCCTGTGTTATATAGCCTTGTGTTGTGAGCCGGCCTTGACATTGAATTTACGGGGTGTGACTTTTCACTGTGATCCCAAACCTCCGATGATCATCATTATTTCTATCATCTGATGTCACATATGTTACGTTCTCTTCAAAGGGGTTGGTCTACAGAAGTGGAAATTCCACTCTCCTGCGAGTGGAGGCAAGATGGTGCTTATTTATTTTCATATTCCTTCGTGCAATATGATGATGTCATATCCCACTGGGGGTTGGAGTATCTGAAATCCCAACTTTCCAACTGAGTCGTGTGCTCACTGTGCTTGCAGTGACACATGTTATGCTGGTGTTATCATCATTGAATAACTCGTGTACATACGAATCATATTCCATCGTACGCAACTGTGGAAGGCAGGGGTTGGTGGATCACGCAGTGATCACCCTGTGCCGTGAGGACCCCCGAACGCAATGGCCTGCGAGACGGCCATTAAATCGCGGTACAGCAAGATGGGTTCCAGACCTGTGTGCCGTGCGTTTTAAGGATTATCCCCTCGTTTGCATGAGGTTTCCCCCACCACTTGTTTTCTTGCCCACAAAATAACCCTCAAAGAAAAAGCCAAACATCCCAACGCGGCAGCCTCTTCAAAACGAGTCACATGACTCCAATGCACTTGGGGTATTCACAACCGGCAAAACATTTACTGTGATTACCTTGGTAGGGCAATGTCATAGAGTCGTAACCAGCCATATAAAATTGAGTTTACTGAAAAGTGCATTTGGGTGAGTGGTGATTGGTCTAGAGGGCACACGACCTTGGGGAATTCTGTAACCTCTGTCTGCTATCTGAGGGTAAGTTGCCAGTCCAGTTGCCCAATGGTGGTGTAGTGGTCAGATTTGTTCCAGATTTTTGTAATTGTTTACATTTTTTGTTGCGGGTGAAGACGGCGCAGCAACTGTCATTGGCAGCGATTGTCCTAAACACTGCACATTTTGTCATGGTCTTCAGGATTTTCTTGGCCAGATAAAGAACTTTTAATGAGTAGTCAACGTGGACATTAAACATGTCTTGGTGGAGGGCATGAGGGTGGCAGGGGTTAGCGTACTATGCTATGAACCCTGCCACCTGAGTTTGATTCTCTATCCGTGGTTAGCATCGGTACTGAGTGAAATCTGATCTTGTCCTCGGCACTGACCAGCATGGTGAATTCACATTACTGATGCTCATTATCAGCTCAAAGAGATAGTTGGCTTAATCCAGGACTGGAATTTGAATTCATTAAATGAAAATCACTGTGCTAATGGAGTGAGAAAAACTGCACAAATGAGACACAACAATTCCTTTCACTCGTACAAATGGGTGAAAAGGAAACTAGCAATGATTACCTTTTATATTGTAAGAAGCTCTGTCTGGAGGGTATGCTCACCTAATCTTCCACGCAGCCAGACATTTGGAAGAGGTTAACAACTTTATTATTTACGAATGTGCTATTTGTGCCTGTGCACCACTGCCAACGCAGTATTACACATTGTTTACCCTGCAAATGGTGGCTGGATCTGGCAGAGGGATGGAAGCGATGACGAGGTGTGTTGGCACCACCCGCACACAGGCCATGGTGACCTAGTAGCGTCAACACACGGAGTAATATAACTTACAACAGAGTAATTTATGTTTAAGAGACTTTTAAGAGCATAATAGCATCCTTGTCTCCGAGTCCCTCCGTGTTTTATCGAAATGTGGGGCGAGACTCAAATCCTCCCCATGGGTGTTTTTTTGACCATACTTCACCAGACTGGTCAGTAGGGGATGGTCAAGGAGGGAGGTCCAAGGCAGGGTTCAGATACTACTCACCACTGATGTTAGCCGTGGTCGGGAATCTAACTCAACTGACCAGCTGAGTTTACAGTGCGCCGCAGCTCCTCAATCACAGATTGTCATGTGACTTTGTAAAACATTTAAAACACCCCCCCTCATCTACAGCAGTATGTATTAATTATATGAACGTCCATATTGCTTTCATAATCAATGTTTTAAATATATTTAAACTTAGTAACTCTATGTTAATAACGACGATTGATCTTGAAATGTTTAAATTTAACAATATCATTTTGAACGAGTACATTGACCAATAGACAGTTTTGTGGCGGTGTATATATTTAAGTTTAAACAATGCAGAACTTTGGACTGACTCTGCCCTGAGTGATACCAATCAACAATCTCTGCGCCGTCATCAAATTTTAAACATTGGTTTTCATGATTTTCCCAGTTATGAACATGGACTCGTCGACATTTGTGCTGAATCTCAGCTTTCCAGCCCTTCTGGAACATCATGCGATTACATCATGCAATTGCACACCGCTCAGTCCTGATCGTCATTTACGAATTCGAGAGTAATCCTCCACGGGATTACATTTATGAACACAACTCATTTATAATGTCCCTATCATGATATATTATATTGTACTTTCTGTATTATAATCATGAATACCAATGAAGCCACGGGCCCAACAGGATAATGGCTACTAACGCTATTGCTTCCTTCCCGTAGCCGGATAATAATCTCTACAATAATATCTGCATCACACGTACGTAATAGGAAAATGTTACTGCCGAGTCGGCTCATTAGGATGGTTACCATTGTGTACTGGAGGTCGATAAAATTGTTACAAGTTTGTGAGGATCAAGTGTTTGTGGTATGGAAAATCTGGGCTCCGTCACACGAATGTGGAAATCCTCCCCGCCCCACGCGTGTTGAAAAAGAAAGACGTAGATTTATGTTTTAGTCCGATATAATCGTGTAATGATGCAAATTTAAACATTCCTCTACAGCAGTCTATTAAATAACGTATGTAATGGAATATACTCAATTGCTATATGACAATTATCAGTGAGTTCTACTGCACGGAAATAATAATGGGCAATATTATACTGTTAGCTGTATAATCGTACCGTAATTATATAAGCACTATAACAACAATGCGTACGTAATAATATTCCATATCGTGTGCGCAGTGTATTTTCAGTAATCTGGCCATGAGTTTCTTCAATACGGGACGCCAGCGATTAGCGAACACCGTGCCATCTCCAGGTTGGCTCAGCCGTAAGTCTCATTTAGGCTTTCGCATAAATATTTACGCGATCTAACCCAAAAAACCTTTATTATGGAGCAAGTCAAGATCTATAAGTATCTTTGGGTCATCTTTGATTCAAAACTGAATTTTCAAGATCACATTGATTATATTGGTAAAAAGACAAAAGTAAAATTGGTTTTCTGTATCGACACATGCACTGCTTCCCCCCTATGTTCCGCTTGGAATTGATAAAAGCTACCCTACTGCCTCTACTTGACTACTGTGACATCGTATATAAATCAGCCCCCAGTACTATACTGAAGAAGCTTGACTCAATTTATCACTCGGCCTTAAGATTTGCATTGAACTGCCCATATCGGACCCACCACTGCGATCTCTACATTGGGTCAAACTTAACTTCTCTTAATGATCGACGGCTTGTGCATCAGATCTTATTTATTCACGATGTATTTACAAACAAATCAGCAGACTACCTCCTGGATCTCCTCACTGTTTCGAAGAACAAATGTGACCTAAGGTCTTCGCTCATTTACCAGCTTCACATTCCCTATTGCCGTACAAATACTGGAGGAAGGGCCTTTTCTATTGATGCCCCCAGGGTCTGGAATGCTATCGCCAATAAACTGCAACTTGGATCACTACCTGTGAGATCTTCACTCAAAACTTCTCTAGAGGAGTTGTACACCCCTAGCTGCAACTGCTATTCAGAATGGTCTGAAATCAAATGTATCGTTCCGGATGACCGCTGCAAAAAATGGTCTTGAGTTTTTATTATAGTGTGCTGATCATTAAAGGTGTATTGAAAAATTTAGATTCTGCTACTGATACTCCAGCTGTTATGGAGTGACTCCTGCAGCCAACTATGGCTGCAAAGTTTGGTCGTGCATGTTATGTACAGTGAGGGAAAAAGTATTTGATCCCCTGCTGATTTTGTACGTTTTCCCACTGACAAAGAAATGATCAGTCTATAATTTTAATGGTACGTTTATTTGAACAGTGAGAGACAGAATAACAACAACAAAATCCTGAAAAACGCATGTCAAAAATGTTATAAATTGATTGGCATTTTAATAAGGGAAATAAGTATTTGACCCCTCTTCAAAACATGACTTAGTACTTGGTGGCAAAACCCTTGTTGGCAATCACAGAGGTCAGACGTTTCTTGTAGTTGGCCACCAGGTTTGCACACATCTCAGGTGGGATTTTGTCCCACTCCTCTTTGCAGATCTTCTCCGAGTCATTAAGGTTTCGAGGCTAACGTTTGGCAACTCGAACCTTCAGCTCCCTCCACATTTTCTATGGGATTAAGGTCTGGAGACTGGCTAGGCCACTCCAGGAACTTAATGTGCTTCTTCTTGAGCCACTCCTTTGTTGTCTTGGCCATGTGTTTTGGGTCATTGTCATGCAGGAATACCCATCCACGACCCATTTTCAATGCCCTGGCTGAGGGAAGGAGGTTCTCACCCAAGATTTGACGGTACATGGCCCCGTCCATCGTCCCTTTGATGCGGTGAAGTTGTCCTGTCCCCTGAGCAGAAAAACACCCCCAAAGCATAATGTTTCCACCTCCATGTTTGACGGTGGGGATGGTGTTCTTGGGGTCATAGACAGCATTCCTCTTCCTCCAAACACGGCGAGTTGAGTTGATGCCAAAGAGCTCCATTTTGGTCTCATATGACCACAACACTTTCACCCAGTTGTCCTCTGAATCATTCAGATGTTCATTGGCAAACTTCAGACGGGCATGTATATGTGCTTTCTTGAGCAGGGGGACCTTGCGGGTGCTGCAGGATTTCAGTCCTTCACGGCGTAGTGTGTTACCAATTGTTTTCTTGGTGACTATGGTCCCAGCTGCCTTGAGATCATTGACAAGATCCTCCCGTGTAGTTCTGGGCTGATTCCTCACCGTTCTCATGACCATTGCAACTCCACGAGGTGAGATCTTGCATGGAGCCCCAGACCGAGGGAGATTGACAGTTCTTTTGTGTTTCTTCCATTTGCGAATAATCGCACCTTCTCACCAAGCTACTTGGCAATGGTCTTGTAGCCCATTCCAGCCTTGTGTAGGTCTACAATCTTGTCCCTGACATCCTTGGAGAGCTTTTTGGTCTTGGCCATGGTGGAGAGTTTGGAATCTGATTGATAGATTGCTTCTGTGGACAGGTGTCTTTTATACAGGTAACAAGCTGAGATTAGGAGCACTCCCTTTAAGAGTGTGCTCATAATCTCAGCTCGTTACCTGTATAAAAGACACCTGGGAGCCAGAAATCTTTCTGATTGAGAGGGGGTCAAATACTTATTTCCCTCATTAAAATGCAAATCAATTTATAACATTTTTGACTTGCGTTTTTATGGATATTGTTGTTCTTATTCTGTCTCTCAACTGTTCAAATAAACCTACCATTAAAATTATAGACTGATCATTTCTTTGTCAGTGGGCAAACGTACAAAGTCAGCAGGGGATCAAATACTTTTTTTCCCTCACTGTCTATCGTTTATTGTTAAATTTGAATCACAGTTCCTATGATCACTGTTACATTGTTTTTATAGCTTTATTTTGGTGATTTTGAAAACGTTTTGGTTTAGCCATGTTTGTTTTTTTGTAGTACAGAGTTAGCCTGATAACTTTAATCTAAATTGTCTTATGGTTTGTTTTGTTGCGGTTGCACCCGAGTCAAGAGTCGCATGGCTCACAGGGTTATACCTAATAAATGAAACTGAAAAAAATCTCATATTGGACGTGTAAGCCAGACCAGCCCCCCACCCCCCCCCCCGCGACCAAACACGCAGCAATGCGTCAACACGGGCCTGTGGCGTCACGGGCCCCACTGACCCAGTTCACTGGGATCAGATCCAGCAGCAACGAACTCAGTAACTCCCCCTCGCCCCCCCCCCCCTCCTCTCACCGCCCATATTCCCACTCGCCCGTCCCCATCACCCCCACCTCCCCCTTCTCAATCCCACACTCTCTCCCCCTCTGTCTCTCACTCCCACGCTAAACCGACTCAACCCTCTCCCTCTCGTTCTCCCTCCAGCACCGTGCCCCTCGCAATCCCACACATTCCCTCAACACTCTTATTCTCCCTCCAGCACCTCACAATCCCACACATTCGCTCCCTCTCTCGCACTCCCTACCCCACCCTTAATCCCAACACCATCCCCTCCCGTTCACTCTCGCTCGGTCTCCCACTGCCACACTCCGTCTCTAACTCCCGCACTATCCCTCTCACACCCCCCCTCATCTCTCCCTCACTCCCGTCTCTCACCCCCCCCTCATCCCCCCCTCTCCCTCCTTTGGCCCTCCCTCTATCAGTGTCTCACTCGCACATGCTCTCCCTCCACTCTCGCTATTCTCGCCGTCTATGAATACTGTCTGCATCCTGCCTCCGTTCCTTCCCTCGCCCTCCCTCCCAGCTGTCTCAATATCTCCCCCTCCTCTCACTCTTTCTGTTCGGCGTCGTCATCGTCGTCAGCCATGATCTATCCGCTGCTGGAACAAATCCGTCGGTCATCTCTCACGTTCCTGATATCCCCTCTATTGGTGGACGAAGAGGCCTTCCCACACCGTGTTGGTCACGGGCGTTGTTTGACCATACTTCACCACGGTAGTCAACGCAAATTGGTGACGCCCCCCTCCCTCCTCAACCCGCACTGACCATTCATGTTACTCACCACTGATGTGAGCCATAGCGAGTGATATCAGGAATTGAACTCAGGATTCCGGGTAAATAACAGTGCGCCAACCACTGCCCCACCCGACATAATGGACTGCTGTACATTTTCCCAATAATTTCTCCCTCCACCCCTCTAAATCTCTCAACACACACACACACTGTCTCTCCCTCCCCTCGCTCTCCCCTCACTCCCTCCAGTTCCTCTCTCTTGTCTCTGGGCATGACTCCAAGACAGTAACAGCAATCACTGTCTCTCTCGTAGATGTACAGAATTAGTCACGTTCTACGTCCTATTTTAACACAAGCACGCATAACAGTATATACTGCACATATCAACGGCAAGACGCCATCACAGCCAGCGCCAGTAATGTCATAACACACTGCCATCGCTTCCTTCTGCCCAGATCCTACAGCTGTCGCGTCTCCGCCGACACCCTAACGCCCAATTTCTGCTCTGCCATCTGGCTTTGGCTCTTATCCTTGGTCACCAGCCTTTTGGAGTGCCACTCCAATGCCACACGAGCGCCAACCATTACAATCTCCTCTTCCTGATTACATCTAAGGCACATACTGGCCAGGTTCTATTATTAGCTACAAATTTGCTTACCCAGTCCTGCCATGGAATTCTGAGTGTCGCCTGCAAGCACTCCGCGTTTCAATGGCTGGAAGCTTCTGTGCGAGCCGCATTTGGTGAAGTTCAACCGTGACTGTACATCCATACAAGCTGGCTTGCTCTCTTACCGTTCAGCATCCCACCACGGGCTGGGCAAAGGCCTCCTAAAGTGCCGTCCACTCTTCATGATCTCTTGCCACTTTCGCCCAGTGCATTCCTCCGCATCGTCTCTAACTTCATCACACCGTCTCATTTAGTCCATCTACCTCTTTTTCTCCTTCTCTCCATCGGCCTCCATTCCATTGTTTGTGTATTGCCCATCTGCCATTGCAATGCCCTACCCACCTCCACTTCAAAGACATTACAGATTCTATAAACAACACCAAATATGACCACTCCGCCACTATTCCAAATTGGTGTTTGGAAGCCCATCAAACACCAGCCCTGCTAACACAATACGACTCTTGAACACCGCACAGTATTTGTGCACATAATGTTGTACATCATGTATGTATGTTGAACTTTGTTTCGCACCGTACGTAGCCAGCCGTGCTAATCGGATGTGCTAAGTACACAATGTTTTCTGCTATTTCCACGTTCCAACTTACTGCTACTACTGATACCAGTGACAAAGGTGCACAAAGCCTGGGCCTTAACATTGCCAAAACCCACCGAGTCAAAAACCCGAGAAATGTTGTGAACTCCTCGCGTGTACGCACTTTCACGCAGAGCCAGAGCGGTGGTTCCCAACTCGTGGTCTGTGGTCCAAGAGGCCGTGGGAAATGGTCCACAAGAGCTCTTGCGGGCATTACAAATTATTTTCGCACGACATTCTCTACTGCCCATGACACAGTTACGTACTTTATATTTCATTCATGACTCAACACAGCTGGATATTGACTGAATCTGCTGATGGTTTTTTAAAATAATTTTATGGTGTTTTTTTAAATATGCTGGTTTAACATTTCTGAAAAAAATGTGTTTTTGGTTCATAATGGTCCGTGAAAAGTTTTATTTGTGGGGTTGCCAGTGGCCCGGTGGCCCGGAAAAGTTGTATATCACTGATCTTAAAAGCTGGGAAACACAGCGCAGCGTGAGAAATCCTCACGTCAACTGTCTATTAAAAAAATGTTCTGAAATAAGCTCCATATTCTCGAGCGGCCACCAGATTGCGAGGGTTGGGGGGGGATAATGCGAGGGTAGCCAGAGGGGGGCGCTAGAGTCGCACCGCGCACCGTTCACACGTCCAAAGGATTGGCAACCTGTGCCTCGTTAGGGACTACGTAATGTAATATATGTACGTATATGTACGTATACATATGGATTGCGGCTCTTGAAATGTCGAGTGTTGTGCCGAATTCGAAAAAAATGGCTCTTCTTGTTATTTTGGTTGTCGACCACTGACTGATCCGAATGAGCCACAAATGGCAAGTGGGTTTGTATTTTCGACTTTCTACCACCTTTGAAATGTACTCGGCGAAATAAATGATTAGCAAATTGTACCAACTCCCACAGCGTTTCAAACTTAGAACCTGCCTCAATAACGATGCATTTACAATCTGCAGCTAAACAATGCCATTCGCACATTGTTTCCCATGTTGTACATCTGCCCCAAATTGGACAGTAAAATGTATAAACTTCTCCACACTTTGTTTCATAACATGACTTTGAAAATAGCAAATTGAGATGTAATGTCTGAAACCAAATTCATGATACGTTCAGGTAAAAGATATGTTCAAGAATGGTGATGTCATCTTCACAGGCAAAGTATGCTGTGATTTACGCTATGTTTTGCTTTTGTTGTGTATCGATCGTTGTTATATAAATCCTGTTTCCCCCACGTGTGTGCGAGCAGGTGACAGTGGGAGAGACATAAAACCGTTTACCAAGCCAAACGGTCTCAGTCTCAACTGAACCTATCCCCGCTTTCAACCTCGACGCTGCCAGCTCAGGAAGAAGTCTGAAGAGGAGGAGGGAGAGGAGGGAGAGGAGGAGTAAAACAAAACGAGGCTATGATGGCTTCTTGCCCAGAGCCGCCCCTTGACTCTACGACCTGCGGGGGGTCACGTGACTCCACTTCTTCTCGTAGCGACGGCTCCCCAATGCAGCAGCAGCCGTCGCACTTTCCGGCCGTACGCGGAAACAGGATGGCGGATCAAGCTGCCGGGTCCCAGGTAGGGGCCCCTGGTCGTATTTTCTGTTCGGCGTGGCGTGAGACGCTCACCTGCCTCAGCCGTAATTATGATTCAGTTCCCAGGTCACCGCGGCATGAACTTTGTTCCCAGACCAGCAGCGGCGCCCAATCACCTTGGGCCGGACCTTTTTTCTGAACGTCCCCATGTTAGGGTGACCTCCACCATCCCGCGCACCAATTAATGGTGTGGGATAAGTTAATAATTCAAAGAGTATAATTTACGGTCAATTGTCATTCCATTGCTGAATGAAGGCCTCCCAAAGTTGCGTTGGCCATGGGGGTTATTTCACCATACTTCACCCGTGCTGGTCAGGGTGGGTTGCTGAAGGGTGGGAGCCCAGGATCATAACCGGGATCTCAGAAGTAGTTCTGTTGTGTCCACTTCCTTTAGCTGTTCTCTAACACATAAGTGTTGCACTATTCTGCGAGAGAATAAACATCATTATTAACCTCAGGGCCCGTTGCCAAAAGCACAATTGGTATAAACCTTTGGAAATAGATTTATGTAAAACGTACAAAACCTACATTGTGGGTCGTGAGTTAACTGAAAACCGTGTCGTTCCCCCATCCGTACCCCCTCCTGCACCCAGAATTCATCAGGAGGGTCCGGTTCTGGGCGGCGCAAGCGCGAGTTCACCCCGTCGGAGAAGAAGGATGCGTCGTACTGGGACAAGCGCAGGAAGAACAACGAGGCGGCCAAGCGGTCGCGCGAGAAGCGGAGACTCAACGACCTCGTGCTGGAGACGCGCGTGCTCGGCCTCCTCGACGAGAACGCACGGCTCAAGGTGTCGCACGGCAGCGTCACGCCGGCGTCACACGCCAGCGTCATATCGGCGTCAAACCAGCGTCATGTCGGCATAACACCAGTGTCGCACCAGCGTCGCACACCAGCGTCACACCAGCGTCATGTCGGCATAACACCAGTGTCGCACCAGCGTCGCACCGACATCACACCAGCGTCACACCAGCATCACACCGGCAGTCGCACCAGCGTCCCACCGACATCGCACCAGTGTCGCACCAGCGTCGCACCGACATCACACCAGCGTCGCATCAGCGTCGCACCAGTGTCGCGCCAGCGTCGCACCGACATCACACCAGCGTCGCACCAGCGTCGCACCAGTGTCGCACCAGCGACGGCACACGGCAGTGTCACACCACAACGTAATGATTTCACTGCATGAGATCATCTCAGGGTGACGCCACGAGACCATGCCACAGTGACACTCTGAGACCGCGGCATGGCGACAGCGAGAGAACACGAGGCCACGGCACCAGCGCAACGGTCATGGCACCGTGACATAATCACACAATGAGACCATGAGATCCTAGAGTCACTGCACATTGAGACCTCCAGCCCTTCCGGATATGACACCGTGACATTATAAGACCCTGCAATCACTTCACTAGGACACCACCTCCGATTAGCACGGTTGGCTACGTACGGCGTGAAAAAAGTTCAACATGCATACCTTGAGATGATGAGAGAGCCCCCTTCACCCACAACACCATGACACCGAACCACGAGACTGTAAGACAATAATGCCAGATACCATATAACCCTGAATCCATTCCATGCACCTATGAGACACCATGAGGATCTTTAGCTACAATTCCAGAAGCCCCTGAGACATTGACACCTTGAAGCTCTTTCTTTCCTGCAATGATTGCACTATACCAGGGGTCGGCAACCCGCTGCTCCGGAGCCGCATGTGGCTCCGGAGCCACATGTGGCTCTTTAAGCACTGCTTTGTGGTGTTATTTATCACATGCATTGCGGCTCTGGAAATAATTATTTTTTGTTACCGAATTTGACTACGCCATCGACAACATGTACATTTCTTCTGCGGTGGCTACGCAGCAATCCCTACCGTGCATATGCAACACTTCAGACGTCTCCCTTTCATTAAGTAACTAATCTGCGCGTCCCTTTCTCTCTTGTCTGTGTGTGTGTGTGCCTACCCTCCCCATCTCACATCGCGACCCTCTCACTCCCACACACCCAGGCCGAGCTCCTCGCGCTCAAGTTCCGCTTCGGCCTCGACGTGGAGCCTCAGCCCAACGGCGCCGACCTCCACGCCAATGGCAACGGCAGCGGCGGTAGCAACAACAGCAGCAGCAACCACCACCACCAGCACCACAACCACCACCTCAGTCAGCACCAGCACAACCAGCAGCAACACCAGCACCACCAGCAGCTGAATCACCACCATCAGCACCACCACAGCGGCAGCGGCAGCAGCAGCAGCAGCAACAGCAGCAGCGGCAGCCATCACCACTACCAGCACCATCACCAGCAGCACCACCACCAGCAGCCGCCGCTCTCCGCTCACCACACGCTCTTCGTGGAGTCCCTGGGGGGTGGCCGGGCCTACGGGAACCGCCACGACTCGTCGGGCTGCGCGTCGCCCGCTAGCGGCTCCGGCTCGGTGAGCCCCGTCTTCTTCCCAGAGTCCGCTTCCAGGGCCGCAACGGCCGCGGCCCCTTCCGCGGCCGCGGCCGGATCTGGGGACCGGTGCTCCGGCCCGGCCGACGCCACTGCGGTACTTTTGGACTCGAAGTCCGCGGTGGCGGCGCGAGACGCCGATTCGACGGCGGCGGCGAATTCCGCGTCGTCGTCGACCTCGTCGTTGTCGTCCACGACGTCGACCTCGTCTTCGTCGTCCTCGCTGTGCGCGCCCGGGTCGCGCCGTCACGGCGACGGAGTAGAAAGCGCGGAGGAGCCGCCGCCCAAGAGGGCGAACACGGTACCGGCAGCGGCAGGCAGCGCGTCGGAACGCCACGCGCTGCGCTTGGCGGCCACGATAGTGACGCCGGCCCTCGCGGACGAGACGCCCCTCAAGTCGCCCTCGCCGTCCCCCTCCTCGTGCCTCCCGCACAAGTTACGCTTCAAACAGAGCGCCGGCATTGAGGACGCCGCCGCCATGGCCGCTGCCCCCACCTCCTTCTTCCCTTCCTCCTCAGGGCCCGGCGTCGTGGCCCTGACCGTGCCTCCGCCTCCGCCTCCTCCTCCGCCCAGGCCCGGCTCCAACCCGGGCCCTGGCTACTCGGGGGTGCTGAGGCGAGCGCCACCCGACCGCCACCCCAGCGTGGGCGTGGTGTCGCCCACGTGGCGCAGAATGGATGGCCTTCCGCTGCCCTTGTCTGCTGCCGTCACGGCCGCCACCATCGTCGCCACCGTCGCCACCGTCGCCAACCCTGCAACCGCAGAACAGGGGTCGCCCCCCAAAACCACACAGGAGGGAGATGGGACCCTGCGGGTGGCCTGCGACACGGGAGACATTGCTGACATTAGCAGCAGCAGCAGCACTAGCGGCGGCGGCAGCGGCACCGTTGCTGTCGCTGCAGCGCCAGCAGCTGGCGGTGGTGCCGCACACGGTGTGAACGGGGACGACGGCAGGGAAGGCACGGGTGGCGGCGAGGGGGGCTCAGGCCCCTCCGAGGGTGCGGACCCCGGCCCGGGGGGATCCGGCACCCCGGAGGGTGCAGAGGGGGGGGGCAGCCCCCCGAGCGATGACAATGGCGCCGCGGTGAGGGCCGAGAACGAGCACCTGCGCACGGAGCTTTCGAGCCTTTCGGCCGAAGTCGCGAAGCTCAAGAGGCTCTTTGCTGAGGGCTTCCTGGGCAAGGGTTCAGCGACGGCCGGGGGCGTGGGCGCGGTCACCGGAGTTTGAGACGTGCGGCGGGCAACTAATGGGGCGACTCCCGAGAGGGGGCGACAGATAGACGCACGGACGGAGAGAGAGAGAGAGAGACGGACGAACTAATAAGAGGCGGACTAAAAAAAATGTGTTTGCACGTATTGTTGTGTGAACTGTGCACTAAAAGGTGTATGTGCACATAGACATTTCTGTGCACATACATATGTATACAGGTGGGTACACGATAGAAACAGGACATTTCTACATACGCACAAAGGCATACGCACACGGAGAGGTACAGAACATGTATGCATGCAGACACGTACAGATATGCAGACAGCCAAGCACAGATACAGTATACACACGTAGTAAGGATGAGTTTTAGGTTCAAAATAATTTGGATCTTAAAGGATGTCTGTGGTAGCTTTGGCGATGTCACCCAATGCCACGTGTGACACCACTTTTGCCAAGAAAAGCACGGACGTGACGTTACATGAGCGACGTCACTTCCGATTTTAGCCTCAATACGAAAAAACATTAAATTCAGATCGTCAAAAATGTCACATACAGGCCTGGTTCTTTTTTCTAAATTAATCCAAAAATCGGTAGCACATCCCTAGCTTGCAGGTGTGTGAAGAGTTTATAACGCACAGAAGCGTGTACTTGTATGCAGACAATTATGAACATGTACATATTATGTATACACTACACAAGGAACATTGACAGGGACAAACATACACATCACAATAATGTTGAGGCCTTGGACACGCATTAAGAGAGGCTTCAAACACTCTTACCCAGTAGCAACGTTGGGCCAACGTTGGCACGTGGTTGGAATCGCTGGACCAACGTTGGCCTGGATGTTGACCCAATGTTCCGTGTTTACTGGGTAGCTGGTAGCTCTGCAGCCTTCCTCAAGGTGAATGTGGTCAGCAAGCACGTGAGTGGTGTGGCCGCCGTCTCGCTGACAAACCAGTTCTCACCGCATTACACAGCCAGCCCGGGTACAGGGGAGGCCCACCTGTCACGAATGAGGCAACATTCTTTATTTAACAGCAGCTATGTTAATTTTAAAACATGAACGATGATTTTTAAACAGCTAAAAGCACTTCAGAGCAACTTGTTTTTTTGTTATTGCTGATGTCATTACATTCAAACAAAAACAATCATACCGATAAATTATTTCTCGGACATGTTTTCCACGTGGGGTGTGGAGTGGTGGCACAATGGTTAGCGCATGCCCGCAATAGGAACCCAATGACTTGACCTTAGGTTCCCGGTCCCGGCTCAACAACAAGTGCCGAGTGATATTGGAACCGGTCACGGATTCCTGCCCCTCCCACTCCACCAACCTGCACTGACCCGCAAGAGCAAACAACGGTCAAACAATCCCCATGACCGACATGGCATGGAAAAGGGCGGCATATGAAATGAATAAATGATTTGTAAATGTGGCGTTTGAAGGCTGCAACAGCTAACCGTAAGCCAGTGACTGTAACACGTGGAGTGAACTAGTTTTGGCAAATCTGTGTATTGCACCGAGTCTCCTCTTAACATAAACATGTTGAGTGAGTTGTGCCCGTAAATACAGCTTATACACAAACGTGTACATAACCACACATTAAACTGTGTACGTACATACCATACAGTATACAGACCTATGTCCATGGACATATACACCCATATGCACCGACACATACTCATGCAGACATGTAACACGAAATGCACATTCACTGCATACATGAACCAGAATTGTACACAACACATACGCACGAGTACATAATACATACACACGTGGATATATCCACCAATACGCACACATGCAAATCACAATGTGCACATGAACACATACATACTTGGTACATGTACATCCACGTGTGTACACACATGCACAGCTTCATACAAAGCACACTTTACCACATTTCACAGCACACGCATAACGAGGAAACGTGATGAATTATGAATTTATTGTTAATATTGAAAATTACAATTACATTTTAAAACAATGACCCAATTATTTTGGTCTGGTGTCCATTCACAATGGCCAGTGCGTGTATATATTAACACAGGTTTTTTTCTTTACCCCACTAGCTGAGCAGTACGGCTGTCCCCCCCCCCCCCCCCCCCCCCACTGGTTATGTGTTGAGCCAGAACTGAACCGTAAAGCGGTTGCGCAAAAGACATCTGAATGTGGCCCCTGGCCAAGCAGGGCCAGGAGTTAGGGTTAACGATGCGATCGTTGTGCGTACCGTCGTGTCAGTACGCCTTGAGGACATAGCGTTACTGTGTCATCTGCATGCGGCTCGACTTATTTAATTGCGTGTGACGTAAGTGGCAAGGCTGGTTTTTTTTTGCGGAGGAATTAAAACAAAACTGGTAATCGATGCCCCAGTGACAACCCGGGACTGGCTCGGTACGGCCCTGGTGCGATTCGCTTGTGCAGTGGAAAAGGGGTAGCTCTAGAGTAGGGGTGGCCAACCTGTAACAGACCAAAAGCCAAAAAGTACCTATGCGTCCAGGAAATAGCCAAGTGTATATATGTGTGTATATATTGCTAGTTTTCGGCACAGCACGGGAGACATTCTTTGCAACAGTGATAGCACGTTCTACGTCATGCCACTTCGATAGAGCCGCATATGGGTGGGTTGAAAGAGCCTCTTGCGGCTCGGGTGATGCTGGTTGGCCACTGCTGGCTCGAGAGAGAGAGGAGGAGAAATTTCCCGTCCTACAGTGAGGCCAGTTGTGTGCAGTGCGGATGAGCGGAGTTGGCCATACATGGAGACCACCGTGGAGCCCCAATAGGTGAAGACGGTGATTATTTTTGTTCGAGACAATCTCGGGCTGTGACTTTATCAAAACTATTCCACCCCGTTTATGAATATTGGCCGAAGGGGGGGGGGGGGGGGGGGGGGGGTGGAGTAAGATGAATCGGTGGTGTTTAATCCATATGCTCGAGGATTCCACCATGGGCATTGTGATATCATAGCGTAATCCCCGCCCACAGGTGGAAGCCGACCAATCAGACTGCGATCAGTCTGACATGACATTTGTGTCGCACCGACAGCTTCACTCCCCCTGCCAGAACCATTTGTAAACGGTGCGTTCTGCAAAGCCCTGAGTTGGGCTCTGGATGTTTCTGAACTTGCGAGTTGTGGAGCGGTTTCTAAAGTCACAGCGGTGGAAAGTAGTTTCACTTCACATCACATATAGACACGTATGTGTAAACATCTCAAGGTCTAGGGGTCAACAGTTAATTTCACAAAAAACTCACCATCACTTCCTAGCTTTCACCCGAGCCCACAACAGTTGCAATGACAAACGTCCCCCATGTAGCCTGAGACTGCAAAAGGAAGTGCTGTCCGTGGTTGCACGAGCGATGTGGTTAACACCCCAGCAGGCTGACATTGTAAATTAAGTGGTTAGGTTGACATTGCATTGGGTATTTATGGCTTAGGTGACCTATAAGAGGCCTAGAATAGGTTCAGATATCACATTCTGCTGATGATGTGCATGTCCGAGAATCAAAAAACAAGTCACCGTAATCACAGCACATCGTGCGAAAAATTGGGCACACCACTTCGCACACGCTCGTGCATACACGCGTACACCAGCTACATCTGTGCGAAATCATCATCATCATAATCCTCATCAGCATTACAAAGCAGCACAGATTGTGTGAAACTCTCACTCGACGGTGACGGTGCCAGGAGACTTCAGTGCAAAGAGTGAGGTTGTAAACCCATCCGCGCGGATCGTAGATTTGGTGAGGGGTTGGCCAAGCAGTGACTCAAGCCTTTGGAGCCGAGTGGAGCTGTAAGTTCCACATCTTTTTTTTCCTGCGTTAAATCAAAACAAAAACGTGACAGAACTTCACTGGCAGTGGTGCTCCAGCGTACGTTAGTAATACTGAAACGGATTAATCATCTGCAACGCTCTGAAAAAATATTACACACACTGGAGGCATGCTGTCATCAGCCGATGGGCAGCGTCTTCAGTTCAAGAGACCACGCGTTGCACTATTGGGGCACCACAGCGTCTTTGCCCAACAAATTAGCTGGATATATTTCTCTCCAATGAGGTAATGAATATCAATGCTAAATTGCATGGACGTATTACAATATGTATTCATGTTAATATAGAGAATAGGTCCATAATAGAGTTTTTTTGGGTTAGATCGCGTAAATATATAAATGTGTCGTTAAAACCCGCCACCACCCGACAGCCAACTAGTAAGGGTTGTCACGTAAACAGAACGTGCCTATTCGTCACTAGTACAGCCACACCGGTGTGTCGGAGAGCCAAGCCACAACATTTACAATCTGAGTATGATGTTTCGCCAGTAATTACAACTAGCTTCATCAAACGACAGCCAGATTTGTGGAGAAGTCCACCTGTTTCGTTATATAGAGGCGCAGGTGTGGTGGCCACGCTTCTGTGCTCTTGCGCAAAGTGGAGTGGGTGGGATTACTGAGCCAACGTTCATTTAAAATACACAACACTCTATACTCGGGTACTTATTTAAGTGTTTTGTTTAGCTGACACCATCACCAGAGGTAAGGATTTGTGGAGACAGTGCTCAGTTTGTGTTTTTTTTTTCAATTCAAAACAAACCATTAGCCCAGTGTTCTTCATTGCAAGGCCCCTGGGCCACAGGCGGCCCTTGGTGGCCTTTAGTGCGGCCCTCCGACAATACACAAGGCATAAAGTCTGCAAGGCACCAAATCTGCAAGGCACCACGTCTGTAAGGCACCAAATCTGCAAGGCACCAAGTCTGCAAGGCACCAAATCTGCAAGGCACCAAATCTGCAAGGCACCAAATCTGCAAGGCATCACGTCTGTAAGGCACCAAGTCTGCAAGCGTGAAAACAGCCCTCGCAGCAGGCGGCGTGGCGGCCCTCACACTCATGATGTCTTATCGGCGAAAGTGCCCCCCCCACCCCCCTCTGAAAATTCGTGAAGAACAACGCTGCATTAGCCACTCACGAAGCCACGGCAACATTACCACCCCCGCCTGCGCTGCTGAACATCGGTAGAGGCTTCCCGCAGACCCCCTCCAGTGCCAGCAAGTTGGCACCCACGCCTCCGGCCATGCCGCCCGTGGAGATCTCCGAGCCAGTTGTGAGAGCCGGCCACGAAGCCGTGCCCCACCTGAGACCCTGTCCCGGGATGGCCGCCAGCCGGTCAGGAGGTGAGCGGTGCCCGTTGGCCAGTGGCGTAGCCACGGCATTATCAGCTCAGGAAGTGCCGGCAATCGGTCAGGTGGGAGCCACAATATTTGATTCGTTCTCGCACGGTCGCACCCAAGGCTATTATATATCGCGGCTCGTCTCGCCTAATCGCATCAATACGCTCACGGTCTCGAACATTTAACGTTGTAAGGGGCGCTCCGTTTTAAATAAGTGTTTTGTTATTTTACACCGCTGTTGAAAACGTATCTCATGGCGCTTGTCAAGGGGGCCCCAACTCGTAGCTTTGACCACCAGGGGGGGCAAGGCACTCCCTGCCCCCCCACGCCGGTGAGGCTACTGCCATCGGCCTCTTCAGGCCGGTCCGAGGTCCCCCAGAGCCCAGCAGCAGTCCTCGCCACGAGTGGCACGGTCACTGCACGGAGGCCCTCGCAACAGTGGCGGAGAGCACCACGGGAGCGCTTGGGCCAGCTGGCCTTGGGAGAGCATAGTCAGGCCCGTGGTGATGCCCACGCACGCACCCACATAGTAGGGGACCGATGCCAACTCGGCAAGAAAGCGCCTTGGCCCAGAACTGATGTAGATAAGGCGAATGGGGTTGGGGGTTCGTGTTGAGACCCAACCTCTGTGAAAACGAGTGGACATCTGTGAAAAAGAGCTTCATAGCTCATCGGATTCCTCCAGTATAAATAATATGCCGATTCTGAACTGGAGTCCTAGGGGGTCGGGGTGCCGAGGCGCTGGGCTCCCCAGGGCTAAGAAGCTCCGATGAGGAGCAGCGATGGGGGACGGCAGGGGGTGTTAGGTTGCCACCCGTTCCGGTTCCCCAAGGATCCTGTTGAAGGTAGCTGTCCCTGGAACATTTCTAAGTCTTCCCAGGGGAACATTAACTCTCAATTGCATGATAACACACCGCAGAATTAGACAGTGGAACTTGCGTGGAGTCCTCCCAACTTAATTGATCGTGGAGGATATCCTTGTGATATGTGCCGGGTTTTTCCACCCTTCTTCTCAACATGCGTTTTGATTATTTGGCTGCTTCCCCTAAATCCCCACACCCGAGCTATCACCACGTGCGGGCCAGGTCACCGCTGACAAGCAGCGAATAGCTCAGTGGGCTTGAAGTGTTAAAAAGTTTCGTTTGATTTTTTTTATCGTAGAGCGCCCCTTGGTGGGATTATTGTTGTTACACGTGGGGCCTTTCTGGCACAGATCCTGTCACTGAAAGGCCTATCACATTATAACGTAAAACTTTACGTAATATTTGAAAGGTTCTAAACAATGAGAGCAATCTTGAATTAAAGCTTTCGTGACTACAGGAATTCATATTATTTTAGTCGTTCGGTAAAGCCACGTAGACAGAAAAAATAACAAAAATCAAAATCACGTTTCGATCGCAACTAAGACGATTGCTTTAGTTGCGATCGAAACGTCTTAGACGATTGCTTTAGTTGCGATCGAAACGTCGTGATTTAGATTTTTGTTATTTTTTCTGTCTACGTGGCTTTACCGGAAGACCCAAAGAAAATGAGAACAATATATTTTTTACAAACTGTAGTTGTTTCAAATATATTTAAAAAAATAGGTTGTGAGTTAGTTGTATGAGTGTGCCAGTCATCTCAGTCAGTCAATCCATGGCACCTGGGTCTGTCCCGTGGCCTCCTGCCAGCGGGCGTTCGACACAACACTTGGCCTTAAAGTGCACATGGCCTGACACAAGCGCCGTGGTGACGTCACCGCCACTTAGTGGCGAATCGCGGCTATTGTTGTATGCAAGTGGAGATACGTGTTGTTGAGTTATGATTTGACTGTAGCAGTGACGTGCGGTGAGGTCAATGGCTGGGGAGGCACTGGCTAGTGTCAGAGCCAGATTCACACACTGAGGGGGGGCGTAGTCTCACGGAGGGGCGTGGCCTCACTGAGGGGACGTGGTCTCACAGAGGGGGCGTGTTAGACATACTGAGATAGTAACAGGCACGCGCTTATTGCCCGCGCTCCATCCAGTCACTGAGGGGTTGCGCAATCAGAGGGGAGGCTGAGCTTGTCGCTGCCTCACCTTTCGTCTCTTCCGGTATTTGCAGCGGAGCTCTGCAAATTTGGCGATTTTGACTCTAAAAATTATTGGAATCGTACAGAAATGACATTTATAACACAGATCAGTGGAAAAATCTTCATATTTATTTTATTTCATTATTATTATTTTTGTTACTTTTTGTAACAGCTATTTTCATTGGAGTATGACAGGTGAGGCTCTGCCTCCCCTGCCTCCCCTGGCCGCACGTCCCTGGTGATGATGGAGTCGAGTATGCGGATTGCTTCGGGGAGGTTATTCCTGAAACGTGGTGCCGCAAATGAGAAAAAGATCTGTCCAACCACGTGCGTTTGTGCGTTTGGGTTGTCGGTGGAGGAATGTTTTATTCTTGGGTTGAGGAGAGCGAAGTGATGTTCTGCTTTGATCCCCGTGTGAGGTTCCTGATGTTAAGGCGGAGAGCTTGGTTGTGCATTGCTGGAGAGGTTGCGTCACCGGTTCGTTGGGAATGGACGGGAGCTGTCCAAGGTGGATCTGGGAATCTCAGCGTGCACCAAACGAAAGCTACGCACAACCCTAACAATTACCTGTCGGGCGGAGGTGAAGTTTGCGGGGGGCGCGCGGGAGGCAACGCCCCCCCCCCCAAAAAAAAACTGGACGCCTTTATTAATTTATTTTCAGGAATTTACAAAAAAAGATGGCAAATTAATTAATTATATACACCCGTGATTTCTAATGTGAGGGACAAAGCGAACGCCTGCTCCCTCCACCCAAATATAGAAATCAAACTCTGCCTATGCTATCGGGCATGTAATGAGAACCCAAATATGTAACAATTCAGTAAGCGATAAAACATAAAATCGTGTTTCAACGATCTCGTGTGTGCTGTCGTCTCGCTCGTACAGTCTCGTTTGCTCCATTCATCTTAAATACACGTGTGAAATATTTGTATGAATTGTAAATTATTTCTTGCACGCACAATTCGATGCACCCATCGTGACTCTAATAATCACGTGTTTATCAATGAAATGATGAATCACTACATGCTTAATAACTGTGAGAGGTGCACAGCTATCGAACGGAGCATAATGCATAAGCGCCTTATACTTAAGAGGCTAACCGAAGACAGACTAAGAAGCAACTTATGAAATAAAGAGATAAACAAGACTGAGTCCGAGCGATTGAAAGTGGCTCATGTGCACGCATGTGATGGGATGCGGTGTCCAAGCCACGCCGTGGTGCCCGGCTAGCGACAGCTCAGTGAGACACCTCGCGATTGTCGGGACATCGTCGCTGCTGCGTCTGCTGCTGATGCTGACTGACCTGCCAATTTGTCACGATTTAAACTATTTGTTTTATTTTTAACCAGGTAAGTCCCTCTGAGCTATGCAGCGCCTTCAGAAGCGACCAGGCCACAGTTGTTAACTCAACAAAGTTGGCTTATTGTGTGGATATTTACGACAGACAAATGCTCTAAGCGCGTGTTTCTAAATGTCGAGGTATAAAGCGACCACGGGGAGTACATGCAAACTACAAATAATACAACAGGCGTCAGGGTCGGGATCTAATTCACCATCTCCTGTATACCAGGCGAGGTAGTTAACATCTCGCTCCAGTTCCTGTACTATACAGTGACCGGTTATGAACTTTATTTACAACCACATCGCTACTGCCTTCATTTTCACGTTTTATTCCAAAGTTGCCAGCTGCAACCACCTTATCTTGCATGCCAATGCGATCATGCACCTCCGATTAGCACGGTTGGCTACGTACTGTGCGAAATAACGTCGACATACATGCAACTGCATTAGAATCAGAATCTCTAGTGAGACTGGAGGAATCCGATGAGCTATGAAGCTTTTTTTGTTTTACAAATGTCCAGTAGGGACAAGTCAGCAAGTTACAAAGTAGAGCTGCTGGCACGACCGGTTGAACATGTCGAGTACTGTACTGTAAAGAACTAATCGATTACTGTACTTTGTTGTAATCGATGACCCCCCCCCCCGACCACCCCGCCCCCCCAAAATGGCAGCCACCCCCACATGTAGTCTTCAGAAGACAGGACCCCCCCCCCCTACAAACGCAGTAATTGATGGTGGTGATGGCGTCACCAAGTCCCGCCCATCACCTCCCGTCCAGTGGCACACGTGGGAACAGGTGAGATTTTTTTTCTTTGAAATACATTTTTTGTGTTATCCGGTTGTTAGTCGAGAAATCGAACCGATGATCCCGCAGAGTCAGAAATGGGTTATGTGTAGGGGCTTCCATAGAATCTACTCTCTGATTCGTGCAGTAATACTGAACAGACATGGCTAGTACCACACACTCACTCGTCTCCTCCCAACACTAAATCTGACCTCTCTCGTCTCTAGAAACACAGTCAAGGAGGAGTGTTCTCCACGTGTCCATTCACCGTTGTGATCATTTCTGTATTGTGATACATTTTGTTTTGTTGGTAGTGGCTGTAGTATATATGGGATTTGGTCCTTATATATAATTACTGTTCAGCGTTATGGGATCCGAATAGCATGAACTACGCTCCACAATAAAAGGGTTTTTTTGGGGTTAGATTGCGTAAATGTGTCGTTAACCCATCACCAACCGACACAGCCAATTAGCGAGGTTTGTCACGTAGACAAAACGTGCCAGTTAGTTACTATTTCAGCACACCGGTGCGTCGGAGAGTAAACCCATTGTAAATGTCGTGGATTTACTCTCTACCGTACGTAGCCAACCGTGCTAATCGGAGGTGCGGGGGAAAGGACAACAAACTAAACACAAAAATTAGTTCAATAACACTAGACATTGGCACCACCTGATACATCGATGCCATTTCCCAGACAGGGAGACCAAGCGAGCCACAAACCCGGCAGACCTTAAGGCAATCATCAAGGCCAAAGGACGCTCCGTAAATCTACTACTTCAATACACCGGTGTGTTGCAAAGTCAACCCACAACATTTACAATTTGAGTACAACGCTTCGCTTGTGATTACAGTCAGCTTCATCGGGCGATTTGCCAGAATTTAGCAACACAATTGTATATCTACGGGACCATTTTGCCAATTTCCAAAATGTGTTTTGCCACAAGTATGTGTGGTTAAAGCAGACGTGATGCCTTGCAGACTTGATGCCTTGCAGACGTGATGCCTTGCAGACGTGATGCCTTGCAGACGTGATGCCTTGCAGATTTGGTGCCTTGCATATTGGTGCCTAGCAGACGTGGTGCCTTGCAGATTTGGTGTCTTGCTGACTTGATGCTTTGCAGATTTGGTGCCTTGCAGACGTGGTGCCTTGCAGACGTGGTTCCTTGCAGATTGGTGCCTTGCAGACTTTATGCCTTGGAAAAAGTATCTATTTGGTATTCGAACATCTTAACACCTGTTTTATTGTCAGAAAGGATAAAACCTACACTTATTTTTCATCATTTTGACACATTTATATTTACGCGATCTAACAACACCCCCCCCCCCTTTATTATTATTATTATACATTTATCGCAAAAGCCTACGTGTTAAAATTCATTACGCCTTATAACATTCAAGCGTTATAATTATATTGTGTCCAATTGGCACATCCTCGTGCCAGGCACTGCCCAGTGTCCACGCCGTGGATGGGACGCACGTGTCTGTGACGTTTGGGAAAAATCTTCTCCAAATGGAGTGGCGCCCACCACTCAAACGTGGTGTCCTTTCAACGGAAGGCTCCGTCCTCTCATGAATATTAAAATGCACTCAACAGCATTTTCCACCACACACGCGAATACAATTGTTGAGCCCCCTAAAACCAATCCTAAAAGTAGCATAAGCCTGCTTATAGTATGTGTGTAATTCTGGATTGTGTTTTTTGGTGAGGGCGGGGCGGATGAGGGTGGTGGGGGGGGTAAACCGTCATATTTCTGTTTGTGATCTAAGTATAGTAAAGGAGGAGACTCTGCGTGCTCAAAACACATAAAGGTGCAGCCCGGCAATCACTTGCTTGGGTCACTTGTGGTGGCAGGGACCTCACGAGGGGGACCTCTGGTGAAGTCCCTCTCGAGAGGGGATCTTGTCCACGCTTCCAAGCTGCGCCGTCGTCTTGGAAGGGGTGGGAGTCGCCACACTTGACCCCGTCACACGCAGACGTGGCCTGCCAATCGACTAACTCTCGTGACCTGCCAATGAAATTGTCTGGGTGGATAGAGGCAGCGTGGGTGGTGTGGGTAGGGGGTGGTTGGTATTTATGAAATCTTGCCGAATTTCATCCAGTATAAATAAATATTTTCATTCTGATTCAACTGCCGTACCTGGTGATCAAACCGGCGACCTCTGGATAGCAGATCCAGTGCGCTTTGTAACACCGCACGATCATCCAAGTGTGCTCGAGTAGACTTGCTGAGTGGCTGCAGACCCAAGGCGGAGTTTTACTTCTATATTTGGGGGGGGGGGAGGGGGCAGGGGTTCGCCTTGTCCCTCACATTAGGAATCGCGGGTGCATATAATGAATTAATAAAATTTTTAATCTTAATTGTAAACTATTGAAAATAAACTGAGGTGTCCAGTTTTGGGGGGCGTTGCCCCCCCCATGCCCCCCAAACTCCGCCCATGGCTGTAGGAGCAAGAGGACATCCTCGCCACACCACGAGGTGCAGAAGAAAATGGTCAAAGTAATGTTTCATCCCTTCAGTGATTAAATTAATTCAATTGAAGAGTCGTATTTTTTTCGTCTCCTTTGCACGGTCGTCGTGTTTGTATTGTTCGTCTCGTGTGTTCGAATTTGCCCTGTCGCATTTACTGCAGTAGCCTAAAGGCAACATTCCCTACCTTATGCACGTGACTTTATGCACGTTACACAATAATGTAAATTAACTGATGGCACCATGATTCGTGTGCCAAAAGAAAGGGACGGTCCTCTCAGGGCCACGCAGCCTCATCTGGGTGTACCCCGCTGTCTTGATGGCCCTAAATGATTGTGAGCATGGGCTCAAGGATGCCGAAGGCACGCATTTAGCCGTGTGCTGGCCGCGCGCGTACCCAAACTGATTACTTGGTGACCTGATAAATGAGCCCTCGCGTACATTACGCGACATCCGAGGCCCTGCGTTGAAAACATTAAATGAATTGCTCGGTACTGGACGTAAATGTGGGTCAGTAATGAATGGATACAGTAAGTGGAATGGATGAGCCGCATGACCTAAAAAGGCTGCGGGTGTTCTCGTTTCGCAGCCGCAGCCCCCCCCCCATCTGTGTATAGTGCGAGACATTTGGTGGTGGCTCGGGCTGTGTGTGTGGTGCCATCCTACAACAACACCACGGCTCAGGCAGGGAGGAGCAACAACACGACATGACGAGTTGGACTCATGGCGGGGGTGGGGGGGGTTCCTACTGTGGGAGTCATCCAAGGATCGGAGCTGCTCGCTACTGGTCGACCCAAGAAGTTGGTCTGCCCCGTTACGTTCTATAATAGTATTTGAACATGTCTCCTTGTCACATGCAACATTAACACATTCCACCAAGGCCGTAGCCATGGAGTCAACATTGGGGGGGACCAATTCTTCCAGGGGGTGTGGGGGTCCACCCACAGAAAAAATCTAAAATTTAAAACGAATTTCCTGCCTAAAATATTTTTTTTTTAAAAATCACGAACACATAGGACGGACTTTAAAAAGTGTTTTACAATAATGTCTAATAGTGTATTGTATTACATTGCTCTGTTTTTCTATTTTACCTTTTCTTTTTCATTGTATGTAATGGCAGAGATTAGGGATTAATACAGCACAATCATAATCACAATAATATAAACATAAATCTATTTTATAGAAATATATTGGGGGGGGGGGGGACATTTTGAGCATATTTGAATATTGGAGTGGATTGTCTCCCCCAATATATATTATTATTACGGCCTTGCATTCCACACACACATGCACACGTGTGCGGTATTCACAGTGCAGCAGTGTTCTGTATTGTACACACAATACACGATTGTGTTATATACTTGAGAATGGCAATATGTTCGGGAGCTAAATGCCAATGTCGAGGTCTGCTAGCCACGACGAGAGGGCTTCAGCAGAGAGTTTGTCTCGTGTTGCTGCTCCTCCTCCTTCGTGGAAGAAGCGCAGTCTAAAGTGGTTCACTACATGGTCCGTAGTTTTGGTCACATGACCACCACCGCCCGACTGTGGGATTGTCTTTAATTTACATATGGGTCTCTATGTATCTCGATGAGTCTCTGTGGGTTCACCGTATGGCCCATATTTTGGGTTGCTTGGCCACAGTCGCACTCATGTGGCTGGTGTCTTTAAGTTTCCATTCACGAAGGAGATGTACGCATCGGCCTGTTTCATGTTCTGATGCGGTTGATGGTCACACCTACGATTAGCACGGTCGGTTACGTACTGTGCGAAAGAAGTTCAACATAGGGGCCGTCCATAAATGACGTAACGCGATTTTGGACGATTTTTGACCCCCCCCCCCTCGTCACACGGCGTCACAAAAAGTCAGACCCCCCCCCTCAAATATGACGTCACAAAGCTCTGCCCCCCCCCTAAAACCATATTTACATTTTGAAAATAAAACATGCTTCAAATCGCTTTAAACTATTATCATTATAGTGCGTATTTAATATGGCGCTGCACTCTGATGTTGTAGGAGAAAACATTGATTAAAAAGTCTATTTAATTAAGTGGAACGTGTTGTCTACATTTATTTAAAGTTGCGCATTTTGATGTGACGTCACATTTCTGAAACCCCCAGCCCCACGTCTCACATCGTCACAAATGTCTAACCCCCCCCCCTCCCCCTAGGTACGTGACGTCATTTATGGACAGCCACCATACGTGCATACGTCACCAGTGTCTTCGTGGGAGGAACTTGAAAGCCAGGAGGGTGCGATGTTTGGGTCTCAAATGAGGAGTTTATTCCGGACGTCCTCGCTGTTCCTCTCTGCTCGTCGGCGTTCTCGGGCGATTGGCGGCGGTGCGTTCGATCCCGGCATGCTGAGTGGCTGACGTCACGCGGCCACTGTGCAGGGGAGATGTGAGTCAGCTACAGGAGAACGCGTCCCTGCAGCTACCCTCCTTATCTTCTTTGGTTCTTTCGGTAAGGTCACGTAGAATGAGAATAAAATAATAAAATAACACACTAAAATTCTCACGCGTGAGAATTTTATTGTGTTGTTTATTATTTTATGCTCATTCTACGTGACCTTACCGAAAGAACCAAAGAAGATGAATCCTTGCAGTCACGAAAGCTTTAAATCGAAATTTACCCTCGTTATGTACACGGGCGTATGGATGGTCACTCGCACGGTTCGCTGTGACGAGGTGGTAGCTCAACTCATGTAATTATAGACACCCATTGTAATGTATATGCCTACATTAACCCCCCTCTGGTCTTGTCACCTGATTGGCTCACAGGTGACGACATCACATTGACCCCTTCTATTAAAGAGCGAAACAGGAGGAGGATTTCTCCACGATTCTGGCTGCCGTCTGATGAGGCTGGTTGTAATTAGCGGTGAGACGTCCGACTCGAATTGTAAACGTTGTGAGTTGACGCTCCAACACACTGAACCAGCAGCTAATTAGCCACGTTTTGTTTTCGTGACAAACCTTACTCATTGGCTGTGTCGGGTGGTGGTGACGGGTTTAACGACACATTTACATTTCGATTTACAGCTTTCGTGACTGCAAGGATTCATCTTCTTTGGTTCTTTCGGTAAATTCACGTAGAATGAGAATAAAATAATAAATTAAAACAATAAAATTCTCACGCTACATTGTAGCTCTGTCGTCCCGACAGGTTTGTTCCTTTCACCTGAAGAATGCCACTTGTGTTGTGGCCGAAACGTCGTGAGAATTTTATTGTTTTAATTAATATTTTATTCTCATTCTACGTGACTTTACCGAAAGAACCAAAGAAGACACATTTACATTAACGCGATCTAACCCAAAAACACGTCTATTTTGAGGTGATACTGTATACACATCGTGACCCACTCCGGCTCTGACGTCTTGCAATAAACATTCGCAATATCCCCAAGGGTTACTTGAGCCAAGCAAGACCTGGATGAGGCGGTCATAGAAGGCATCTGACTCATCAGCCCTTACCATAGCCCCCCTCCGTTCTGCTCCCCACCCCCAACCCCAACTAGATGTTCCTCGATCATGAAGAAATATACAATCATCACCTCTGTTCCTCACCTGGATTTTCAGAGAATAGTCCACCGCTCCAGACAGACCATCCTGCAGTCTCTGGAGTTTGCGTGTCGTTCTCCCCGTGGTCGTGTGGATTTCTCTTCGGGTTCTCCAGTTTTACCCCCCACATTTAGAAACATGCATTTAAAATATTTGGCTGCTATGAATTTCCACATAAGCCACTTCGTTGAGCTATCATTTGTGGTCATGCCGCTTCTGAAAAAGAGCTACGTACATAGTTCAGTGGGCCTTACCTGGTAAAATAAAAAAAACAATTGTTTAGCTTCTAGTTTCTATGGTAAAGAGTTCCTTTGGAGGGGTTTTCCGCATCTTGCACACAGAGCCAGAGAGCACCCACTGGGCATGCTGGTGGGGCTCACTGTACTGCGTCTACTGCCTAAGTGTGGACACCTCCACCTCTTCCAAGACGTCTGGCCAAAATATATATGCATGTTGTACTTCTTTCGCACCGTACGTAGACCGACCATGGTAATCGGAGGAGGCTAAACAAAGCACCCTCTAAAGCTCCGCCTCTCTCTAGAGCAGTGGTTCTCAACTGGTGGGCACGCGGATCCCTGGGGGGTACACGTGGCAGTGTCCTGGGGGGGAACGTGAAGTGATTTATAAATGTGTGGAATTATACCATACGTGACAGTCATCAGTGAATAGCCACGTGTGAATTTGCCAATATTAAATAACTACGAGAACATTTCCATCCATAATGGTGACCTAGAACGCTATAAAATACCTTTCCAGACTCATTGATCGTAAACAACGCGGGTTTCCAAGAGTAATCAGCGAGCAGCGTCCGTTTAATTGTTTTGTAATCGCTCCCAGTTACTAGCTAGTTAGGACGCCTCATAAAATGGACAGTTAGTAAAAAAATATTCATGTTAATTATTCATACGTTAATTTCTCAGAACCGTGTCGGGTCAGGCAATGGTGTTACTCGGTTGAAACAGAATTCAACAATTTTGATTTAAAGCTTTCGTGACTGCAGGGATTCATATTCTTGGTTCTTTCGGTAAAGTCACGTAGAAGGGAAACAATAAAATAATAAAAATATAAAACAATACAATTATCACGACGTTTCGACTGCAACACAAGCAATCATCATCAGGCGTGAAAACCACAGCAAGAACATTTGAAAAAAGTGTCAGTTTTTTTTACGTTAGCACCACGGAGAGAGATTTGGCAGTTATTCAGATGGACGAGTCCGTCTATGTTCGGAAAAGAGGAGGGGGGAGACAAACATAATGGATGCGGTCTGAAAGCCACCGTAAGCGTGAACAATCAATTAAGACCCGAAATGGTTTATCAAATCCTTCCAATGATTGCTAAGCCAGAATCCATCTTTTTGGTTGAAATTGTCTCTGTGTTTGTATATGTGGATAGCCTCATGGACGAATCTCTCATGGTAGCCAGATGGCTTGCAACGAACCTCTGTCTTGGAGAAGTCAATGTCATGT